CAATTAGAAGTAAAATGCAAGACACTTGAACAAGTCATACATGATTCATTAAATACACGATGATGAACATGATTTGGGGCGGAAGATACTTGATTCGCCGAGTTTTGGTTAATCAAGAATTGATCAAACATTTGAGATAAGGATTTCATCTCGGCGGCTATATCATTGGAGTTGTCAACTTGATACAAGCCAACATTCTTCCTTCCTCCTAGATTTTTACCATTTTTAGAAGACAGAGATCTATGCATGGAATTTTCACTCATACTTTCATACAATTGCCATACATCATTTTCATGCTTATCAAGATAAGAACCACCCATTGATGCATCAAGCATACCCTTATGATTATCTGGTAAACTTTTAAAGAAATATTGAAGTAGTTGCCACTTAGGTATGTCATGATGTGGGCATTTTCTTAGCAAATCATTAAACCTTTCTCATGCCTCATGAAACATTTCCCCATCCCCTTGAGAAAATTCACGAATGGAATTTCTCATGGCGTTAGTCTTTGAAATCGGATAATACTTTTTCAAGAACTCTTGTTGCATTTCAGCCCAAGAAGTTATCGAAAAAGGCCTAAGATTGTCGAACCAATATTTTGCCTTGTCTTTAAGGGTAAAAGGAAAAAGTTTAAGCCTTAACACTTCTTCCTGCATGTCCATGTATTTCATGGTGGAACACACTTAAAAAAACTCATCCAAAGGCTTATAAGGTTCTTTACTAGGAAGTCCATGGTAATTTGGAAGCATTTGAATAGTTTGTGGTTTAATTTCATAGTGATGTGTTCTAAATGGAGGCAATTGAGTGCAAGTGGGTGCATTACATTCATTAGGCACATAATGGTCTCTTAATGCAATGGGAGGATTCACAATTGGTGGTGCTAGACAAACACCTTGATTAGCTTGAACTATGGGGGGTTGTGGAGCAAATATTGGCCTAGGCATTCCCAATGGAACTTAGTCTTGTTGTTGTGGGTGAATGAATGATCTAGGTATGCCTAATGGTACTTCAACATTTTCATGATGCATATTAGGGTGGAGATTGCCTTGTTGGTCTATGTGACCAAGGTCCTCCACATGGTCGTCATTCAAATCATCCATTGGTGAAATAGAGTGATGAGAACTCCCCCTTCCCTAGGATTATGAACAACCGATTCAAGATGCAAATTAGGAAGGACCAGAGTAGGATTCAATGACCTACGACCATGCATACACTAGAAAAGTAAATAACAAGCAAGTAACAATTACTTCACCCCCGTAACAAATAAATCACAAATCTCCACATTCAATGATCCCATACTCCCACGCTTAAACAACATGCAAAGAAAAGTAAATTGCCTCCACGCGGGCTCACGATTTATCTAAGAAATGGAAAACAAGCCTCCATGCGGGCCAACGATTTAACTAGAGCTTGAGTTAGAAAGATCTTACAAAGGGTTCTTAAGCAACTTCAATTCATTTTCTATTTCCAAGCTTTGTTATGCTTCGCATTTTTTAGATTTTTAGTCCTTTTTGTGCTTAGCTTAGCTCCTTGTTTTGAAGTCTCCTTTGCTTAACCTCCTTACTCAATTTCACCTAGCCAAATAAGAACAAACACAATAAGTAACCAAAAATAAAATAAAGAAAAGACACGATCAAAAGAGTAGTAATCCCTAATTGTTTCCAAAACACGACGTTGCCAATTTAATCCCCGGCAATGGCGCTAAAAACTTGGTGTGCCATCACACCAACGCTTAAAAGATGTTCGAAAGATAGTGAATGTGCAATGTGGACAAGTTTTAAATTTATAAATGCCACTACTACCTCTTAACTAAAAATATAGCAAGGGTGAGTAGGGATCGTCCCAAGGGATTAAGGGTGCACTAGTAGTGGAAACTAGGCTTAGGGTTAATAGGTCGAGTGATCAAAGGTAGGTTGTTTGGTTGATTAAACTACAATTAAAACTAAATAAGTTCAATATCAAGCAAATAATTAAAGGATAGAGAAAACAAGAGACAAAGGTCTTGGGATTTAGAGATCACCACTAAGCATCACTTTTCTCTATACTCAATTCACAATTAATGAGGGGAAGGCATATGTTGCAACAAGAGTGAGTGTGTGTGGTTGTTTCAACAAATATGGATGACCAATTAAGTGTATGTTGTCTAGAAAACACAATGAATAGCACAATATATCAAAGTAAGCCATTAATCCTTCTTTAAGCTCACAATCCAAACATATCACAAAATTAAAGAAATATACTACTTGTATTCATAAGTATTGAACATCAAACGACAAACATGGATTGTCCTCCTATTTAACAACTAAGGTAACTACACTACATCTAGACTAATGACATGAAAATTAAACTAATTAGACTAAGGGAGAGGCACAATCCATCAAGAAATGAATATAAACCATCAAATAAATCACAAGAGCATTATATTAAGTACTATGTCTTGACAATCTCTAGATCTATCGCATTAATACATATAGACATGCATCAACAATACAAGAAATAGAGATAAACACATGAACATCTATTCTAGCATACATAGACATATGGATAGAATGAAATGGTCACTTGGAAGAATTAAACCACACAAATTATTGAATAAATGAGATCTATGTGTATAAAGATATCTAAACATGTATTACAACACAAATCCCCTCAAAAATACATGAATCAAGATAAAAAAAAAAAAGCATGTTTGGCTAACTCTAGCCCCAAGAAGATGTCTAGCCACTCATGAATGGTGTCCTCCAACCCTCAAGGGCTATCTCCATGGTAGAAATTCTCCTCTTCTTTAATTAGATGGAAAACCTCTCAAGAATGTCTCTAGCCTGCTCTCCAAGAATATGTTATACAATATGTAAGTTTTGTCAAGTATGCTCTCAGGAATGGCTCATATTCCTTATATGGGTAGGTTAAAATATCACACCCAATAGTCTGGGCTCACACATCAATATTCCTCCAATGATTACACCACGAGCCAACCTTTAATGAGCTGGATTTTGTCTTTTTTCGGGCTTGAGGAAGTTCGGTTGATCGAACTTGTGGTGAGATTGATCGAATATGGCTGAGATCTATCAAACTTTGGCTGGATCGATCCTCCCATGGCGGCGCCTTTTTGGATAAGGACAGATCTGAGATATTTTGGGGAAAGAGACAAAAGTGGTAGGTGGGGTGGTACAACAGGATAAGATGAAATCTTTTCGATCGATCTAAGAATTGTTGGATGGATTGAACTTTGTGGGATCTTTGGATAAGGACAAAAGAGCTTGGATCCATCTTGAAATTTCTTAATCAATGAACTTTCGATCGATCGAACCTGCTGAATTCCATACTTTGCTTCAATTTGCTTCCACTTTGCTCCTTTCTTCCATCCAGCTTGAGTTAGCTTCTTTTAGGCTCTTATTTGACTGAATTAGCTTAATTTGGGGATAAGCATCTAAAAAGGGCTATATCATGAAATTATAGTTCTAAATTATTAAAATATCTTATCAAAAAGAAAAATAAAATCAAATTCTTCTATGCCTTAATTTGAAATTGTGTAATTTTATAAATTCTGTTATTTAAAAAAATTATTATTTGTTGACATGCATCTGTATATATAGCCTTCTATATTTTGATAACTTTTCACTTCTCAAAAATTATATATATAAAGCTTTCTATACTTCAATTTCGGCCAACATGATTTCAATTGACTTGGATTTTTAAGCAACAATTATACTACACTGAGTTTAATAATTGTAATTTGAACAAATCTCAGAAAAGTGAACTTATTTTATCCATAAATATATTATTATGAAAATTTTGCAATTTTTCTCTTACAATCAGAAGTTGGAAAATACAGATCTTTCGATCCATGAGTGTGGACAATAACTAAACACAAAAAAATTATATAGTAAACCAAGTGACATCTACATATCACATCTCTCACTCTCTATGCTGCTAAGTGAAGAATGTGAACAAGCAAAAATAATACATAGTTCAGTACACAAGTTTCTCTAATTTTTCTTGCAGTCGTGAAGTTTCTATGCCAATTCTTGGCCAAATAGCCTGAAAAAGTATATATAAAGTGTTATTACTCTTGTAAATGAGATATGATAATAAATACATTGTGATTTGTGAGAATTTTGATGTGATTTTGATAAGAGGTAGTCTAAGTGTGTACTTCAAGGAATAAAATAATTCACCCTCCAAAGAGCTGAAGAAGTCAACCTAGTGGACATAAGGAGTTTAAATAGAAACTTCTTAGAACAACAAACCAAAAATAGCACTTGCAATTTTTTTTTTTGTTGTTTACAGAACTGAAAAGATCTTTCCAATAAGAATAATCAACTTTAAAGGTAATAAAAAAAAATGTGTCGAATTAAAAGAAAATTAGGGTGTGCCTGATTTGTCATTAAAAAAATATTTCTTTAATTTTTACAGAACTGAAATAAAAAAGATTGTACAAAATGTTTTCTTGGTTTAGTTGTTTGGAAACTGAATTATAAAAAAAAAAAAATAAATAAATAAATAAATAAAAATTATTTTGAAAAAATTATCTTTTATAGTTATTTAAAAGTAATTTTACTCTTTTCTGAATGACAAATCTTGCCGTTCCTTAAATTCTTCAAATATGCATGTTATTTATGGAATAAAAATTTTAATCGAATCAGCATAAACATCATTTTACTAAAAGGAGATGATAAATGCACTCCTCTTAACTAAATATACTTCTTTTACTGTACTTTTTTAATAGAAATAACAAATATACATTTAATTTTTGATTTTGTAAGAACACTTAATCATTTAAGTAAAAATTTTAAATTCCACATCATTTTATTGTTCAATGTATTGCTTCCCAGTTCACTTTAAGCCAAAGTTGCCCTAGCTAGTACTTTTTTTAAAAATGAACAATACTTCTATGAGGATGAACTTCATTTCAAAACACGTCATCTATGGTAGGAGTCATAGTAGTGTATATGATGATTGTGTGAATGTATGTATAAATATACCTGTGAATGGATGCTTTATAAGATCTTGTCACCCTTAGTAGTGTAGATTGCACTCAAAACTTCAACACATTCTTCTTCGAGAACATCTAGAACTTCATGCAACATGAAATTTCTGTTCATACCAGTAATCAATTTCACCTCCAAAGTTGATCCCATTTCTTCAACTGCAAGTACCGGTAACACCGGCGAGGCTTCCAAGCTATGCTCAATCTGATCACCACCCGTGAGTTGTTCCTTCCTTCTATGCAGTTCTTGTATGCTTTCCTTCAGTCCTTTTATGTAGTTAGTCGCTTGCTCCAACAAAACAGGCAATGCTATTCTTTCCTGATCACAAAACAAAAGGCATTAGTTCATTTTGTTTGTGTTTTCATTTTTGTGTGTTTGTGTGTGTGTATATATATATATAGAGAGAGAGATACGTTGGATGTTTGGGTAAAAATGAGAGAGGAAAGGATGGAAAAAAGATTATTCATTTGCATTCTTCTCTTTTTCTCCAATATTGCATTTCTGCCTGCTTTAAGGGAGCCGTAGCCGGGCTGCATTTTCTTTTTCCCTCGAGAATTAAAACCCAATGCTTGCTTGAAATACCGTTTACATATATATATATATATATGTATATGCTTGTATGTGTTTATGCATGTATAGGACTTGAATTCAATTGATTGATCAAGACGCACATCACAAGTTGCACCCAGCTGGTCAATTTTTTGTGCACCTATCCTTTGACCTTAGGAATAAATTGAATAATCGTGCATTAGCTGCGTAAAACTATAATCAAAGTCAAACAAATGTTCTTGCATCATTAAATGTTTGTGACTCAAATTCTTTTTCATAACAACTTTTAGAACAAATATTCTACGTCATTAAATGTTAGTGACTCAAATTCTTTTTCATCACAACTTTTAGAATTTTATGACGGACCTATTTATGTGATTAATTTGAAGTTGAATATCATTAAATTCACGTAAAATTAAGCTCATCAGACTCTTTATTAGTATTACTCTTTCACTACAAAATAGTGAAAATTTGTAAGCAAAGAAGATTTTGATTCCAAATGCTCATGTAATTACTCTAGGCAATATATATATATATATGTGTGTGTGTGTGTGTGTGTGTGTGTGTGTACATATGTATATGTGTATTTGGTGAAAAAACGTTATTTTGGGTCAAACTTTTTTGGGCGTCTCCCCATCCATTCCCATATTCAATTACTTTATTATGTGGTTGGCTACAAATTAGACAATCTCTGCCTTCAATAGGTAGCATTTGCTGTAGCGTTCTTGGTGTACCTTGTTCATTACTGACCTAGAGTCTCATCATCACTTATTTTTCTCATGTCATTTCTCTCCCGAACCTTGTGTTGGAGAGAGAGAATTTTGCAATGGTGGAGTTGGGATCATTAACTCCCTCAAATATTTAATTGAATCCATCATTCACATTCTCTTTGCATAACTCAATAAAGGACATTAATTGTCACGGCAAGGGTGGCGTATATTAATTGAATTCCATCATTCACAATTGTGGGTATTTTCTTTATTAAGAAAAAATAAGTCTTTTGACCTTAATTATCGGCTCTTTTTCTGAGTATAACGTGATTGGATCACATTGGAACTCTTAAAAAAATTCTGTAAATATCTCTTTCTCTTCGACTCATTCCCAACCACGTCTCTTTCTCTTCGACTCATTCCCAACCACGTTGTCTTCAGAGAAAAGTCGGCAATTGAGATCAGAAGGCCTATCACTTCTCTTTTCTCTAATATTCTCTTTGCATCTTTCACATTTGTTGTTATTTTCTCTCCTATTCTTTTTGCATAACTCAATAAAGGACATTAATTCTCACGGAAAGGGTGGCATATACTAATTGAATTCCATCTTTCACGTTTGTTGGTATTTTCTCATACATGTACACCAGAATTACATATACTTTCCTCTCTCCTCACAATATTCACCTTTAAATTCCGTTTATCTTAATTTTCTCTATTTAAATTAGGGGTGGTAAATTACGACACGACACGACACGAGTTAAAAGGGTTTGAGTTTAACATAAACGGGTTTAAGTCATAAAATGGTCGACACGATTAACCCGTTTACTTAACCGTATTGGATTAGGGTTGAGATGGTCAACCCGTGTAACCCGTTTATGACTCATTTAACTCAACATGTTATAACCGTAAATATGACCTATGTAATATTTTACCTGTTTAAACTTAATTACTATAAATAGTTAAGTCATTTCAACATAAACCTTATCTATACTTTATAATTTTCTTTTTATTTTAAATATTTGAGTTAATTAGGACAATTTTTTTTTTATTATTCAGTATTTGATTAAATATTAAATGTCTCGTTATGATAAATAGGTCATTAAATTGGTTAACCTGTTTAATAAATGGGTTGGGTCAGTATTGAAGATTATTGACACGATTATTAAATGTGTTGAGTTTGGGTTTACCTATTTAGTATAATACTTTACCTTGACACGACACAAACACGACTCACGAACATAAATTGCCACCCCTATTCCAAACCTATATCTATTTACAAAGTCTTTAAAACTCAGTTCTTGTCAAATTTTATTATTTGACAAGAATTATACCACTTGCCTGCAAAAAAATTACCAAATTAATGTCAACGCTAAAATAGAAACCGAACAAGATCATTTCTCTTAAAAATTTTGAACCAAAAACCCATAAGGTGAATCTCACCCGTTAAATAATTAAACAGCCGGAGACTTCAACGGTACAATATGGGGTGGTGTTGGCATAGTTAACGTACTCGCTCAAATATTTAATTGAATTCCATCTTTCACATTTGTTGGTATTTTCTCTCACATTCTCTTTGCATAACTCAATAAAGAACATTAATTGTCACTTAATTTGCGACACTTAATCCCTTTGGGGCGTGATGGTGGCAACCTCCATTGCTATTGATGGTTTTGCATGCCTGTTATACCAAACATTTATGGTGTTTTAATTAAATGCGTTACATATATAATTGGTGAATTATATTTTTCGTGGATTCGGAATTTGAATTGCGATTACGCATGTGATTTGTATTTACATGAAAGGTTCTTATATTGGAATATAAAAAATTATAGAAATAAAGAAAGGACCCTTTATCAATAATTTAATAAATAAACTGAAAAAATAATAAGTTAAGCCGATTCTGATAATCATTGTAACAATTGCTCTTTATCATTCTCAAATGATTCTCGATCATCAAAGCCATATAGATTATCGTATTAATTAATAATTAGTTTGATTTATTCGGTAGGTCTCAGTAGGTGATGGGCTAATTAAATTGAGTCCATGGAGATTGACCGAATTGGCGCTACGAAGAAATAGACCTAATTAATTACAGAAGGTGAAAGCAAAGATGAAATCGACAAGGGCAAGTATTTTAGGTCTGCATCTTCATCTCTATTGTTGAACAACAGGTGCTGATTTATTATTATTATTTTTTTTAATCTTTGAGGTTTAGGTTTCTATATCTTATACAAATATATCATTTATCATAAATCTTAATATATAAAATTTTCATTAGACACAAACAAGGGTGTCTGAGATATTTCAAGCTTTAGAAAAAAAAAGAAATTTAAAGTCATTAATTTTAAAGTAAATAAGAGTTAAACTCTCTCCTCTTCTTTTCTATCAACTTCTTTAATCTTAATCCAGTAATTGTTAAAATTGAAAGTAATATTACAGCATATGGAGTGACAATATATAGAAAAAGTGCCATGTATATTACTAGCTACATGCAAGCATGAGAACACACATTCAGTTCAAACGTAGTCATAGTTTACGCAAATAATGTGAAGTTTAAGTTTGTAATCACCAACGTTTGTGCTAACATTTTTTCTTTTGAAAGATCAGATTTTATAAAAAAGGGGACCAACCAAAGGCTAGCCCAATGCTAACCAAAGCGGCCAAACAATACAGCCCAAAAACATTTGTGCTAACATGAGAACACATATTGGTGTTCAAAAGTGATCTTTGTTTATTAAAATAATGTGGGAAACAATTAATTAATTAATTATTATTATAATTATTTTGTGTGTCAAATTTCCAGTAATTAATTAATGTCACCTTCAGATATTGGAAAACAATACCATTTGTGGGGCTCGCCAATTATTTATAGATAAAAGTCGGTTCGTTGAGTTCACATTCTACAAGCTGGGATTTATATTATCACATTTTGTTTTGACAAAAATAGCATGTTGGTTTTCAGTCATGCACTGATATTTTTTCTGTCACTTATTTTGGGACCGCAAGGTATTTTTTTTTCTGTCCAATCAATTTTTTGGAGGGTAAGTTAACTGATGGGGCCGGTGGCCACAGCCCAGCACCACACTATCTAGTACTCATAGACGACTAAAAAGTGGTCGCTTTCCAATGGACTGTATGGTAGACTGAAGTGTCTGTCACAGCAAGGGTGGCATATATTAATTGAATTCCATCTTTCACAATTCACATTTGTTCGTATTTTCTCTCACATTCTCTTTGCAAGTCAAAATCGTGGCATTAACAGTCAAAGTATCAGTCCTTCTGCTGATATACGAAATGGGGGACCGTGGCCCAGAGATGGGAATTTTAGTTTTCAATGCTTCAAGTGCAATGTAGCAAGATGACAATCTGCCCAAATATGTGAGTTACGTCATTGTATTTTGGCTAATTTCGTTATAAAATCAAGTTCGATTGACTTGTAAATTTTTAGTTTGATTTGTTAAGATTCAAGATCAGAAGCAGAATTGAAGTTTGATCATGTTCATAATTCGATACACTCCTTGATGATGAGAATAATACATTTTATTTGAAATGAACAGTGTATATGTAATAGTAATAGTGGAAATGTTTTTGCTCAACAGTATCGAAAATATGAGAAACACTTTTTTTTAATTTTTTATTTATTTATGTTTTCTCCTTTCTTCACAAAAATGGAAAACGTTTTTTGTTTTAGAAAAACAAAATTATATTATTAAACATGTTTTTTTATTTTTGTTTTGCCTTTTTAGGAGCTGACAACAGAAAACAGAAAATAGAAAACGTTTCTAGTTACTAAACGCAGCCTAAGGTAAGTGAGTGTGTGAGGACATTTTCATGACTTTGAAAATTAGGTGTTGAGTCAAAAAATTTCTAAATATTTTTCAAAAGTTTAACTCACCAACTTGAATTGGTTGAGCCCTTTTGAACCGGTTTAACTTTCATAAGTTAATTTTCAAAGTTTTGCTTCTAGCCAACTTGAATCGGTTGAGCCCGGCCCTCTGAACCGGTTCAAGTTTTGTAGACACGTACCTTTTAGGTTTGGCTTTCTATTTTGGATAGACTTTTTCCATAATAATCATGCACAAAATTGACTTTTTTCTAACTAAAATTAGAGTTTCTAAAGTCTATAAAAACATGTTTTTCTCACTTAGGTAGATACAGCTTTTTGCATCAAAATTCTAATTTTATTTGAAAGCCTATTTTGTGAGATTTTTCTGAGAGTATATATACACACTATACACATGAGTGATTTTGGGTGTCATTCTTATTTTGACCGGAATTTGAGCATTGAAAATTGCATCAATATCAATCAAAGAAAGCAGATTTCATTCTTCTATATATTTTGATTTGAAGGGCGATCACACTTTGTAGGGGTTAAAGCATTCACGGAGTGTTGTTGATCTACCAGTAATCTTTCTATAAGGTTCAAGGAATAGTGTGAAGTTGAGAACTGTTGGACGGGAGGTTACAAAGCAAGGGATGTTCAGCAAGTTGGATCTTGGTAGAATAAAAGGGTGTGAGCTTAAGTCAAAGTTCAGTGTATTTTACTTCAAATATAGTGGATCGTATGTTTACGCTCAGGATAGCGCAAAAAGTCTCTAAAGTTTCCAATTGGTTTCTACGCTAAAATTTGGCACCACTGTAACTTTACTTGCTTATTATTCTGTTGTGTGATTGTTAATCAATTGGTAATTTTAATTGAGTAAAATAAAATAAAGAAACACGTGATTAAATCCCTCTAAAAGTATTTCAAAACAAAAATATACCCAACACAAAACAAAAATATACCCACTTGTTCAAAAGCAACAAGGATGAGAAACAAGAGAGCCTAAAGGCTAAGGCAAGGGCCATAAATATGAAATAGGTTTAGAGAAATGGCTGCTGTGTAGGGTCTTCCAGTATAGTCAACTAAGGGCATTTGCATCTTAAGAAAGTAAAAACATTATTTTACTTTCAGAGTGAAAGTAAATTCAAAAATGACGTTTATAAACTTATATCATTGCCACAATTTTATTGTTTAGTAATAAACGTTGAAA